AAGTGCAACAGACGGAAAACACCCGTCCCATCTCAAAAGGCACCCATGCAGAGCATAGAAATTGGACAACCGATGGAACTGTGGGCTATGGACGTATTAGGTCCACTTCCTATGACTGCACGGGGGAACCAGTACATCTTGGTTATGTCCGATCACTTTACCAAGTGGGTAGAGGCGGTGCCAATGCCCAATCAACGTGCCGAGACGGTAGCTAAAGCCTTCGTTAATGAAGTAGTGACTCGACATGGAGTCCCAAGTAAACTTCTAACCGATCAAGGAAGGAACTTCGAGGCCGATCTCATGAAGCAAGTGTTCAGTCTCCTCGGTGTGCGAAAACTAAGAACTTCGCCGTACCATCCCCAAACGGACGGACAAGTTGAGAGAATGAATCGCACGTTAAAGGGAATTCTGACAGCTTATGTAAATAAGGACCATAATGATTGGGACGATCACTTACCACTGGCCTTGTTTGCATACCGTAACAGTGTGCATTCCTCGTCTGGGGTTTCACCTTTCCAGGCAATTTATGGTCGCGAAGCCACTACACCGCTGGTACTTATGAACACCGAAACTGAAGTTAAGGAACAGTTTATTTCAAATTACTGTGATGAACTGGAGAAGACATTAAAGGACGTACATCGCAGCATCAAAACGAACATTGACGTGGCGCAAAGTAAGCAGAAGAAAGGGTACGACGAACATAATGACGTTGACCGAAGTACAGCGCTAAAGGAAGGGGATCGGGTGTGGCTCAATAACAAAGCGGTACCAAAGGGCTTGAGCCGAAAATTCCATTCACCGTGGACGGGGCCTTACGTAGTGATCGAGAGACTGGGCAAGGTAAACTACCATATCAAGCCGGGGCCTGGGAACGGTAAGACAAGAGTGGTACATCGCAATCGACTTAAGCTAGACATACGCCAGCCTAGAATCGAAGAAACCCTGTCTGTTGATCAACCAGAAAAGCACAACTCGAGAGTCGAATTGCTCCCAGGCGAGCCAGTGATACATCACGGAGAGAGGCTGGCAGACGCACAGCTGTTACCAGCAGAGGAGCTGATCCAATTGCGTAGGTCTAACCGTAATCGCCGACAACCTGATAGATATCAGGATTATAACTTAGATGAACTAGAGATCGAGGACGCTCTCAATTAAAGAGGGGGATATTGTAACATATGCTAGTGATTATATGGTTTAATAGGGATTAAGTAATAAGAGACGTTTTATATAGATATCTGATGACAGGTAGAGACTGGGGGAAATGTGATTGTATACAAGATGAATATAACAACAAGAGCTTTTTTGAAATAGTATTGTTTCCTTGTTTGTGTATATTACACTAACTTGAGTCGTTGTTAAGCCAGTTTCTGCTACAGCGCTTTCGATCATTTATTCATTTCGCGATAATTTAGACCAACACCGACCATTCCACGACCGTAAAACCTTTCCAAAGTATCTCTCTGGTTGTCGCTTATTCTAGTTCTCTTTCCTATCTCCATTTCATTGCACAGAATCGCAAATAGACTAGAAAATCTGCTAGAAATGTTTTCAAATATGGCAGCTCAAAGCTCGAGAAGAACGTGTGATAGAAAGACGATTGTGATTGGTTTATAGATAATGATATGCGAAAGTGTCATCGTCAGGTAGCGCAGGCGATAGTCTGGCACGGGTAATACCGAATATTCTCAATTGAGAACATATGGGTAATACCCGTTGAGGTGTATGCTAAACGGGTGACTTATGGTACCTACCTGTATCTCGGATCTTATAAAATGATACTTAATATCTATATGTTTCGACCTTTGATGGTGTACGGGCTTTCTAGCTAAGTTTATAGCTCCCTGATTATCTACTTGAATAAGTACATTATCATCACTTATACTTACCTTCATGTCGATACATAATTGTCTAAAAAATTTTGCCTCCTGTACGGCATTTGCAAGCGCAATATATTCTGCCTCGCATGTAGAGAGTGCAACTGTTGGTTGCTTACGGCTCTTCCAGGATATTAAAGGACCTGTTGAAGACAACTGAAAATTATAGCCAGTTATACTCCGCCTGTCGGCTACTGATGCGCCCCAGTCGGAGTCACAAAATCCGTTCAACTTTAGCGGAACGTTTGACTTCCTAAATGTCAAACTTTGCTCAGAACGTGTTTATCCGTGTCGAGATTGGCTCTTGTGGGCTTAGACATTTTCTGTGAGAGCTTCGTCACTATATAGCACAACAATATCCCTATACTCACCTGGGTTTTCTAAGCTTGGATCGCCAACTATTTCGGACATTGAGTCGGCAGTGCGCCAGCGGATACCCCCGTAAAAGTCAATATATTTTAGGCAGAGAATCTATAAAATACATAGGAATCAAACTAAACACATCGAATTGACAAAAAGATATTTCGATTATTTCATTTGCTCAAATGGAGTAGTATTCCTACATTGCATACAAACGGCACTGTCGAAAAAAATAATAGTTAAACCTTTATCTTACGTTTCGTTTCGAGATTCAACTTCTGAACGCTTTGCTTCTATAGACTTGTATACTAACTCGGCCAAAATCCGCTCGATTACCGAGTTTCATTGTTCAATTTTTAAATTTCTGTGACTGCTATGTAATTTGCTCAAATGGAACACCAACCTTGAGGATCCTCGCTAGCTGCTCACAAAAATTGGGCCCATAAAACACTGGAAAAGTTTTTCGTATTTACCATCAAATATCATGAATTTTCGTAGATACTTAGAATATTATGCGCTGTTAGTATGTGATCGCATTGCCGCAAATTTCACTGCGATTAAAAGCTAAATTGAAGGCGAAAAATCACTCGGAGTAGGTTGTATTTGGTACCAAAATGATCGCCACGATGTTTATTTTTCAACCCTGCAAACGCTTCTGGGATACATGAAACACAACCCGTGCTGCCAGCGGTAGAAGTTGGGCCGTTTGGCTACAGCCAGACTAAAAGGTCAACCAAAGGTCAACCGTATTAAATAACTTCAATTTAGACGAAAAATTGTAATGTTTTCCGTGCTTAAAACCATTTATTTTGACAATAACGACTGTTCGAGCGTCGAAATTAGAAGTTCTATCCAGTGGGGGAAACACTTATGTGTTTCTAATAGAATTGGCTCATTTATTTCCATTTGGTCATTCCAAAACATTGCAAAACATTGCGCGTTATTGCGCGTTATGCATTTCAGGGAACTTCCGCTGGATAGTAGGACTGACATAAGACCGCAATAGTTGGCGATGCGGGGCGGCTTCATCTGAGACCTTCTCGATACCTAAAACACATGGAGTAGGCTTGGGCTTGCAATCAGCCATCCCAAACTTTAACAATACTTTTTCAATATATTGTTTCTGATTCATTTCGATGCAAGATTCCTTGCATTTAAACTCTGTACCTAAAAACCACGATAGTTTACCTAGGTCTTTCATTTTGAACCTTTCACCTAAAGATTCTTTTACAGTTGTTAGTAATTCAAAATGACTGGCTGCGATAATGATATCGTCAACCCATACAATTACTATAACACATCGCTTCGAGTCAATCATTCTCACATACACACATGGATCAGCCTGTGACTGAGTAAAACCCTCCTTTTGCAGATACTCGTGTAATAAATTATTACAGTTTCTCCCACTTTGCTTTAAACCATATAATGACTTATTTAATTTGCACACTAATTTTTCACCGTTCTCACCATGTTCCTCGAAACCTTCTGGTTGTTCCATATAGAGCTCACAATCTATAGGCGCATTAAGGTAGGCGGTCTTGACATCCATTTGGTGAATGATCATGTCATTCTGCATAACATGTTGTAGCAATGTACGAATTGAGCTCATGCGAGCTGTCGGGGCAAACGTTTCCTGATAATCAATCTCAGGAATTTGAGAATACCCTTTAGCTACAGATCTTGCTTTATGGGTTTCTTCTCCATTTTGGCCGATTTTTACGGCGTAAACCCATCTTCCCCCCACTGTCTGTCGATCCTTTGGTGGTGGGACTAACTCAAACGTATTGTTATCGTTTAATGCGCTTACCTCTGCATTCATGGCATTTTGCCACTTGTTAGCCTCCAGCGATTGTATTGCTTGCTTGTAACATTTTGGTATGTCTACAGCCCTAAAGCAATAATCAACAGTGCGGTTAACATTGTCGTCAATAATAGGCTGATCAAGATACCTTGGTTTGTTGCGAGTGCGTGTTGGATATCTCGCCGCGTTGTTCTCTACCTCTGCGGTACCAGCATTTTCATCCATTTGCTCGTTAGTATTTACCGTAGTTTCAACGTGTTTTCTATTTGGCACAATTAATTCATCTTGGTCGTCATTATACGCCTCAGGCTCAGTTTTAAAATTATCAAAAAATTTCACGCATCTTACCTTTTTCACCTTGTTTGTTTCTGGATGGTATACCAGGTATGCTGGACTGTCTTTATCATAACCTACAAAAACACCTTTACGGCTCCGGTCGTCTAATTTCTTAGCATTTTGAACAAAGGCATAGCATGTTGAGCCAAAGACATGCATATTGCTAAGATTAAGTTGCTTACCTGTCAGTGCTTCATACGGAGTTTTTCCTCACCTAGAATTAAAACACCTACTTCTAATATACACAACTGTCATTACAGCATACGTCCACAAACGTTTGGGGAGATTTGCTTCTAATAGAATGCATCTAGCCATGCTAAATAAACTCCGCCACGCTCTCTCTACATGCAGTGCCATTTTGGTGTGGGGAATATGGCGCACTGGTTTCGTGTGTTAAGGTGGTCTTATACATTGAAATTTTTTTCCTAATTTAATACGTTTTCCTCATTTTTTATTCAAATATTAGAGAATATGGGTGGCTGACTCGAAATCACTCACTTATACATTTGTTCTTGCCATCATGGTAACCAAGATAGGACCCCCCTATAGGGTAAAATATGGCGTTTGCGCCAAAAATGATAGGAGTCAAAGTAAACTACTCATGATCTCCCAAACAGCTTTAATTGATACACAATAGACCTATCTATGATGTGAACCTAAAAAAATATTTAGCTGCAGGCATAAAGTGTATAAATTTTACGCTTCTTTATAGATGAATGAAAATATGAGGGTGCGGAGTTCAATAATAGGGTTACCCTGTGGTGAGTATAACTTGCTCATGGTATTTTTTAGGTTCACATCACAGATTTAGTAGTAATGAGTAAATGCTGAAAATTTCCACCTAGATTGGATAAATTGCAAACCCAAGAGAATTTTTGCCAGCTCTCGAGTTTACAATTTGAGAAAATTAAGTTTAAAATATTTGTAGATATTTTCTCATCAAACAAACCTAATTTAAAGGCTAGAATAGGCATCTGGAAAGCTTAAAATGAGCAAACTGCATGTTTTCAATTACACTAAAGCTCTTGCTCTCTCCATCACCAAACAATTCATCACACTGACGTTTACATGAACTTACTGAGTGCTCAAATATACGCTTTGCGCCTTCCGGCTCAATAGCTGGTGCTGATCCGCTATAGTTTGTTTTACACTTTATAGGCCATGGGCCAAGTGCCGAAAATGTGTTTAGAAATCGATTTTGAATACGCACCTCGGGGAACCAGATGAATTTTGCACCGTAGTAAGCTTATGTATTGTTGATTGTTTTTTTTTATGTATGCCAAGCCTGATTACTTGCACATTAAGTCACAAATCGAGTCATTGTGTGTGAATTTTTTTTTATAGTTGGCGGCCATCTTGGATTGCGTAATTTCATATTTTATACAAATTGCTCTCTATATTAACTTTGTTTTCACATGATAATTTTTAAACTGACTGGAAAACATTTGCACTGACCAAGCCCCAAGGTGTGCAGTCTGTTAGTAATATCTGCAAAGAGTTTTTCATACTACTATTTTTCGTGTACAGGTGTATGTACCACAAAATATCACAGTACTACTGACAGAATACCATTTTTTTATTTCTCTTATAAAATTTGAAGGAAACATGCTATATACTTTATGTTGTAAATATATATTAATTTTAGTCTCAATGGTCATATGAAAACGAAAAATGGATATTTTCATAAAATTTTTAAAAATAATCGGGATAAACAACATATAAAATTCCTTATTTTTGGTACTTTTTCTGCTTAATGCCCGTAAAATCAGAAAGTTTGAAAGTAAGTTTGCAAACCAACATAATTTACATTTATCAACAGTTTTTCTAAGCGATATAACATTTTTACTATTCAGGAATCTCACTGAGTAATCAAATTTACTATAAAAAACTAAATTTTTCAAAATTATTGGTAAACCTAATATACTGTGGTACATACCACTGGTATTTTGTAGTGATTTTAGTATTGATCTTCCACTAAGGGGCCATTCACAAAGGATGGTCGAGCCGAGGGGGGGGGGAGGGGGGTTTGGAAAATCAGGACAAACTCGGACATAGGGGGGAGGGAGTGTTTTTAGCAATCCGGATGTCCGAAATTTAAAAACATTCAAAAACAAATTTCTTTTTCCCTCTATTTTGAGCAGTCCTTCCCATTGTGAAATTGGCATTTTGACTATGCGGTTAACACTAGATTTTGTTTTAATTAGTAATTTATATGTTTTTGTGTTCACATTTACAGTTATAAAAAAGTTCTAGTTCCCGTAAAATCAGAAAGTTTGAAAATAAGTTTGCAAACCAACATAATTTACATTTATCAACAGTTTTTCTAAGCGATACAACATTTTTACTATTCAGGAATCTCACTGAGTAATCAAATTTACTATAAAAAACTAAATTTTTCAAAATTATTGGTAAACCTAATATACTGTGGTACATACCACTGGTATTCTGTAGTCATTTTAGTATTGATCTTCCACTAAGGGGCCATTAACAAAGGATGTCCGAGCCGAGGGGGAGTGGGGAGGGGGGTTTGGAAAATCAGGACAAACTCGGACATAGGGGGGGAGGGGGTGTTTTTAGCAATCCGGATGTCCGAAATTTAAAAAAAATCAAAAACAAATTTCTTTTTCCCTCTATTTTGAGCAGTCCTTCCCATTGTGAAATTGGCATTTTGACTATGCGGTTAACACTAGATTTTGTTTTAATTAGTAATTTATATGTTTTTGTGTTCACATTTACAGTTATAAAAAAGTTCTAAAAGTAAAAAAAGTTTTTTACTCTTGATATATACAAGGTTGCGTGAGTTTTTGCGAGGCATGGCGGATGTCCGGGGGGAGGGGGGGTCACTAATTCGGACAATGCCGGACAAGGAAGGGAGGGGGGGGTCGGAAAATCCATCATTTGGCTGGAATCCTTTGTGAATGGCCCCTAAATTAAGTTAGCAATATCTGTGCAGTGTTATCACACAACATGACACACCAAATCCTCGTACACAATTTGATAATGAACCGTTCCTTACTTATTGCCGCACTGGCAGTCTGTGGTACATTAGGATTTTATCTACAGAATGTCCGATTTAAAAAATAATAGAATATGCCAAGTCTAACCAAAACCCCACAGGAAGAAAAAATAATTTAAAACTATACTAAAAAATATTTAACAGGCTATGTTATATGCATTTGAGAAAGGATATGGAACATGTAAATTTGTTTGGTATTCTGTGGTACATACACCTGTAATATAAATTAAACGCACAAGTTTTTTTTAACAAAACAAACAACAAAATCAACTGTAACAGTTTGTAAGGTGGTGCTGAAATGAATCTTTATTCTCTATTTAATCAGTATTATTTTTCAAATATGCATAACAATTTTTATTTATTTCAAGTTGGTTAATCACCATGTTTTCTTTATAAAGTGCGATGGTGTGCCTGTATTTACGTATTGAATACAAGAACCATCAAATACTGTTCAATCTGATTTAGATACTGCTTACCATAAACCCTTCAGTAAGCACCCCCTTCATTTGCTACTGGGTTCCATCCGTCAATCAATGTGCATTCCTATTTAGTCTAAAAGCCCCTCTCCCCCTTTGAACAGTATCTATCTTACTGCAGGGTGTACAGTATTACTCAATTAGAATTTATTACAAAGATATACATAGGACATATAATGTACTGAATGCTGCAACCCTTATACATTGGGTCATTCCAGAAAACTTTCATACATTCCTCAGGGGAAACTGAAAGTTAATCCTCTACCTCCTTTTTATATCTTAATGCAATCATTTTTATTTGAAAGGAAGGGATTGCCAAATCAATTAATGACCTAAATTTCATGTGAGATGCTGCCAAATTAAATCCAAAGATGATCTTTTTGCTAACAGCAATTCTGCCACCCAAAGAGGGCCGGGCCGTGATTCAACCATAATGGACTAATTAACCACATAGTCCAGCCCTGGATTTAATGTATTTTTGCATGATTTTTACTTACTTCCATGATGCACGTCTCGGTTTCTTAAAAGTTAATTATAAATGTGAAATTGAATGCTAAACTAACTACATCAGTGGTGGAAAACAACATTTAGACAAAACACACATAGGCGTAAGTTTGTTGTGTGTATGGATTATTAAACACTGAAAATATAATTTTTGAAACACATTGTAGTCATACATATGTTCTGGTAATAAAACTCAAGTAGGTAACCCCCCATATACTGTCGGAAGTAATTAGTATTCAAGCGAATGACGTCAACAAGGGTGTGCGTCCGGGCGTTCTTACTTAGTGTACGTCCAGTTTAGTAAGCATTATGTAATTGTATTGCACATGTCCTGACCAAGTATGCGTTCTTCAAGGTCGAATAATGTTGACGAAGTTTCGTCTATGGAATTTAGGAAGCCATGCAATTTGTTAGAGACAATATTTGCACAAACTGTTTCTTGCGAGGTTTATGAGCTTTTCGAAGAGAGGTGCTGTGGTTGTAAATTAAATCGCTTTAGTCAGAGTGAGTGTCTTATGTTATCGTATGAGGAGACGTATTATGGTATTTTTCAATGCCCCCTAGTTTTAAGTATACTTCATTTGTAGAACTAAGCAGTGCAGTTTCAGTAGAATGTTGATGACGGAAGCCAGACTGCTGTTCCACAAGAATGCCATTCAACCTCAAGAATGAACCTAGCTGCAGGTATACCAGTTTTTCGAAAAGTTTAGCTACAGCTGAAATAACAGATATTGGCCAATAATTTTCACAGTCTGCCTTATTTCCTTCTTTAAATATGGGGGTCACCTTTGCTAATTTCCAATCATTAGGGAAAATTGCTCTTTGAAGGGATACATTGAATATGTTCACTAGTGGTCCTGCCACAATGTTAGATGCATCTTTTAGTAACCTTATACTAATACCATCAAGCCCTGGAGATTTCTTAGTTTTAATTTCATTGAGTGCATCTATTGTTTCTTGGAGTGTAATGCTTGTAAAGTTGAATATACTACCATCAAGAGGAGTCACAAAGTTCATTGGATCAGTGCAGTTACCTGTGATCTTGTCAGACAACGTACTGCCAATTGTGGAAAAATATTGATTGAAGGCATCTGCAATTTTATCATCGTCAGTAATAAGTTGGCCATTTATATCTAGTTCTTTAACCTCTGAAGTTTTAGGCTTTTTGTTTAATAATTCGTTAATAGTTCGCCAACTTTCTTTGCTATTTTTAGAATTGCTTAATTTATCTGTAAAGTATTCTTGTTTAGTTTCTTTTATGAGATTATTTAACTTGTTTTTACATCTCTTGTAAGCCTTATCATAATACGCAGATCTTAATTTAATCGATTGCTTTTTAAGGTAATCCCTACGATAGCTCATTTGCTTAATTTCATTTGTCAGCCACGGTTTATATTCACTCTTGACACGACGTTGTCTGATTGGTGCATGTTTATCTGCGACGCTCAAAAACTTATTTTTAAAATCGTTCCATAAGGCATTTGGGTCAGTTAAAATAGCTGAATCCAAGGGCAAACTAAAAACCTCACTTAGATCGTTGTTAAATAACGATCTAAGTAATAATAATATCAGCAATAATATCAGCACTACAGGTGGAAAATTTGTCTGAGCATGCGCGAGCAAAAGGGGCCACGCAATTGCGTGGAATACACGCAACTCGTTCTCCAAAAGGTGCAATTGTATAAATATTGCCAAATGTTTGGTACAAAATAAATGACTGTTTTATGTTGAAAATGGACATGATCTTAATTAATCATACATAATTTTTGTGATGTTCGAATTCTATTTCAGTACGTACCCCGTCATTGTTCGACTCATATTTTGGGTTTCAAGATGATTATCTTCGGATTATGATTTATGCTATATTTTTTGAAATTGTCAGCTCGTATTGGGTTTTTTTGGCTTTTTTTTTTCGCCGCAAAAATTGTAGGAAAATAAACCAAATCCGATCCGCTCGCAGTGACAAAAAACATACAAAATCCGATCTGATCCGACAACAACAAAAAAGAAATCCGATCCGAGTGAATTATTGTAGGAATGTGATCGGTTGCATGGACTCGAATTCGGATCAGATTCCCACACTTTTGGCATGCACTAAATATTCTAGAAGTGCAGAGATAATTCACTCCACCGTTACATATTATGGTAGGCATCCTACGTACGCGAGAATACGCGCGTGCAGTCGTGCGGACATTCTACAGTTTCTGCACCTAAGTGACGTCAATGTTACAATACAGCGTTGATTCGTCACAAAAATTTCATCATCTTTCAAATCTTCCAAGTTGCAAGCGCTCCTCAATACTGTTTTTGGTATTGGGCAAAAATCCTTAATAATCAGCTTTGTTGAATTAGTACTGTCCGACTGTCCGACTTTATACTGTCCGACTCTACACAGATGGCTTTGCATTCCTGGTTAACTTCTCGCTCTAAAGCATTGATTAGTTTTTCCGCGATGGAAATCATGGTTAAAAATGCTACTGGCTGCAACCGAAATAAACAAATGTCTCTAACTTTAACAGTAGTATTTTTGTCGAAATTGTTTTTAACAATACAATCTAGGATGTATGGCATGCTTGCATATATTATTATATATATTGAAATTGACGTAAATCGCAAGGTAAGTGCACGATCGATTGACATTTCGCAGGATGTAAACAACAAAATTCTGCGCTGATATGGTTGGTCAATGATATAAAGCGAATTTGAATTTATTATAAGAGGCGGCTCGAAAATTTATTAGAAGCGACTACAGGCTCGCTCTTCCTTCCACTAACCGGTGCCTGACTTGCAGGCTACGTTTTAAAAATTAGGCGACCAAGCCGGAAATAGTTCAAGTTGACATGTCCGTTTTACGTCGTACGGCGTTCACGAAGTTCAAATTATTTACAACTTTGAGCTTTATATAAAAAGATTTCGAATGATTTTCAAGATATTTTGGTGAAACATATTACAAAAATTAAGCACAACAAAATCATAATAATACCGCTATAGTCTAACGCAAACGAGTTTGATGCACAGTTAAATTCGATTATTCGAAAATAAATTGTCCTTTTCCAAACTTTAAACGGTCATTCACAACACATATTTCAGTTGTTGATGTTTTGTAGTTTCTTTTAGCTTGTATACCTAGCTAGCTAATTTTTGTTCATGTTTGCTACTTTTAGCAGTTCTTGTGCCATAAAACTTGTTAAGTTAACCCAAGTTAACCCAAGTTAACACAAAACATGGTATTTTAGGTTAACCTGGGACTTTTAAAATGCCTATCGTTCATTCCACACGGTTTCTTACAAAAAATATCTACTTTAATCACTCTTATATATTTATTTCCTGCTATAGGTATACCATTATGATTGAAAAGCTGAATGAAAACACCAATGAAGTGAATGGATTAGAAACCACGCATGGCTACTTTAAGTTGGACGAAAAATCCCAAACAAAACTCGATCTGAGATATTATGAAAAAGCTCGTGTCAAGTGGTTGTACTTCACTGCTATGAAACCCAAGAATCCTCAACACAGGGCGTGGCTCAACGCCATCCGGGGACCAGCATTTGGCCAGCCCCGTCTCCATGGTAAGATTATTAACTGTTCTTTTCCACCGTAAGCAAACAATATGTACCCTCCTCAGCTACTGCGAATAATACATGTAGTCTGTATGGCAGCCAAGAACGCCAACGGCAGAAAACAAGCTTTTGTATCCGAGAAAAGGCATACATAGATTAACATTAGATGCCTGCTGCTTAGATACTGCTGCAATAGTAAGTGAATTCACATAAAAGACCCAAAACGACATCTAACATCTTAACAGTTGGCGTACAGTTATGTTGTAAACAACGTAGCGGTTTGAAAAGTTACGCGTTCTATAGCATGCTCAAAAGGATATCGTATACAATTTCCGCTTGTCACAGAGCAAAATGTGTGTTTTATCGCCACGTATTCGTTCACGTTCCGTTCTATTTATCAAGAAAACAAACATCCAAACCGCATGCGGAGTAAACAATGGAAACGAAACTGAAGGGAATTTCCTCACTTTCTTCATGCCTTTCCACACCTGTGCAAACACTATACCTACAGTTGTTTAAATATATAGAACAAATGACTGAGCATCCAAATGAAACATTCATCCACGGGAACAAATTTCATTTGATGGTTGATCCCTTTAAATTAGAAAACATATTCCCTTACTGTAGGTATATCTTCCTGAATTAATTTTCCTTTTGCATGAAACTATGCTAGCAGAAAGTTGTCATTATTCTCTTAGTAAAACACTATCATCAATATTCTTAATTTTTTTACATAATTTTGTTTTTAGCCAAGCTCCTGTTATTCTCTGAAACACAAATCATTTAATTTAATAAATAGAACTAATCGAAGTTTTGAATGAGCATCCAAATGACGTGCTTTTCCATGGGAACAATTTGTGTTTGACGGTTGGCTCCCTTTAAATTGTAAAATATATTCCCTTATTGTAGTATTGTAGGTGTATATTAATTTTCTTACTTTACATAGTAAACTAAATATGCTCGTAGGAGTTGCAAATATTCCTTTTGTATAACACATACAATAAATATTTGTATCGTAACTCTATAACATTATGTTGTTTGTAGCCAAGCTCCTGCATCCTCTGAAGCACAATGTTGTAGCAACGGCTAGAAAAAATAGAACGGTTACCCCCAGATAAATCCATAACACCTACAGCTGTTAATCACGGAAACCTTGATTTCGCGTTTGGAAAGGCAGCCAATGAACACGATATCTATGTGTATTCAATGCAAGCATATCCACATCAACAAGATCTCACAACTGAACCCGTTAGAGACGCGATTAAAGAATCTTCTGATCTTATTCCGCCCAGAATCCTTCAAAGTGTACATGGCTTTTTCAATCTGAAGCTTGACCACCCAACAAGGCTGAATTTATGCGCTTCTTGGGACAAAAATGCCGTAAGTAGCACATTTGAGGAAAGTATGTCATTTTTTCTAAAAACTCTCTTTTTTGTAAGTGACATTAGTTAAAGTCCAACATTTCATTACAAAAACGAGGCACCACAGCTAGCGTAGGGGACGTTCTTTCCGCATAGTTGCATTAATTTTTGTAAGTTTGTCAGTTAACGTTACAAAATATTTTATTTTTGCCACTTTATTATTTGCGCTGATTACTGACTTCATTCATGCATGAAAACTGTCGTCAAAAGCCCAGTTATAGGTGGCATCATAAGAATGCTGGTCATGTGTTTCTATACAGCAGGGGCTGGTTGTATAACAACGTAATTACCCCTAACTGTAGGTAGCGTAACTATACCGTAGTTAAAACCTTAACTGAAAATTGTTAACTATATGACTTACTTGCGTTGCACAAAAAGTAGTTAATGGAACAATTGCTCTCCAGCCAGCTAACTGAGCTAAGAATTAAGAGTAGACACATACAGCTTTTGTGTGGGAGAAAGGGTTATGGGGGTGAAGTACTCCTGTTACAATAAGTGTCACATTATATGTATATTTAACCCAATAGACTCTTTATGGCCTTATATTTCATCCTGCGGGGTATATATAAGGCCCGCTCTGATAACCCTAGGGGTAATGGTCCCTAGGGCTGCTCTGGGGGTAAGGGTCCCCAGAGCTGCTCTGGGGGTAAGGGTCCCCAGAGTACATGCCAGAAGGGTAGCGACCCCCTCTGACCGTATTGACCAGAACCAAGGGGTAAGGGTCCCTTGGACAGTTCCTATAACTCGGCCGATTATATTTACATTGAATGAGTCTATGGGCATGAAGGTGACCTTTGGGAGCACTTCAACCCCAAACCATTAAATATTTTATTGCAATAACTTCAATAATTAATAACAACAATTATTAATGCTGTACTGTTTTTGATCAATATATATAGTATATAATATGCTATATTACATCATGCACCGTGACAGTGTACTCCAGTGATGGTGTTATCTCCAATAATAGTGTTCTCCTTTAGTAGCGATTTCCAGTAATAGTGATCTCCAATAATAATGTTCTTCCATGATAATGTTCGCCATAGGTGTTTTGTGTAATCCTTAATTAGGAGAAGTGGTGGGTGGGTGGGTGGGAAAATGTTACAGTAGCTTTGGAACATTACTTTGTTAAGACTTTGAAACAAGTGATCTCTTTCAGGTGTATTTGGTCTATTTTACTGGCTTAACCGAATTATGATTGGTTACATGTTTTGATGCCATCGAAGATATATTTCGATTGGCTGAAAGATAATTGGTCATGAGATGTGCACGTGTACGCTATGCCAATACAAAGATGACCTTTGATACAAATGACAGCTGTGGGTCTGTGACCTTTGTACCGCACGCAAAATATTCAAATCGATTGTCATATAAATTAGACTAAATTTGTGGACAGCATTGCCCATTAACTTAAATTTATAATATATATAAATTAGCTTTAATGGAACAATTGCTCTCCAGCCAGCTAACTGAGCTAAGAATTAAGAGTAGACACATACAGCTTTTGTGTGGGAGAAAGGGTTATGGGGGTGAAGTACTCCTGTTACAATAAGTGTCACATTATATGTATATGTAACCCAATAGACTCTTTATGGCCTTATATTTCATCCTGCGGGGTATATATAAGGCCCGCTCTGATAACCCTAGGGGTAATGGTCCCTAGGGCTGCTCTGGGGGTAAGGGTCCCCAGAGATGCTCTGGGGGTAAGGGTCCCCAGAGTACATGCCAGAAGGGTAGCGACCCCCTCTGACCGTATTGACCTGAACCAAGGGGTAAGGGTCCCTTGGACAGTTCCTATAACTCGGCCGATTATATTTACATTGAATGAGTCTATGGGCATGAAGGTGACCTTTGGGAGCACTTCAACCCCACAAATACAATAAAGTGTATCTGGCACTTGAGTGTATTCCCCATAGACGAACAATCCCACTCCTACAACAGCTGTATTCATATAGAGAACATCTTTTGCCAGATGATAGTAAGCTTGTACATGTTTGAGAATTACCATCGCTTATACTACAGCTGGATAGTCAGGGAGGCCAGGAAAAACCTGCAATACAGGAAACCTGAATGGGGCCAAGACAATTAACGAGCAGCTTCCCCACAAAGCTTCTATGTTACAACTTCTCAATAGGAGCGTTGGTAACGCGACAAACAAAGCTCTATCTCGGAAATTTTTATTTTTTTTTAGTCTTTCACTCAGTTTTAAGTGTTTTTTAAGAGACCCAGTATTTGCCGAATTCTTTGTCTATTCAAATCGTTTGCTTGGTGAAGTAACCAATTAAGCATAGAGGATTAGAGCATTTCCAGTTGTGAGACATAAATCTTGGAATAGAGCCCATGTTGGCATAAAACTTTGTTACACTTCCCGAATGAGAAAGTGTATTAATTAAAATACCGTTTGTTTCTTTACCGGTCGAGAAAACGATCGTGAAATGGCAGTCGCGTTTAATGCAGTGGACGATAACAGACAGAACATATATCTGACTTTTTTGTTTAATATTGTTGCAGTTTCCTTGAATTTTTCAACGTATCGTAAAGGAAAGTATTCGTATAGTACAGTTTCTTGGTTTATTCGGTATTGCATTGGTTGGGTCCTTGCCTGTCTATACTACAGACGTTTTGAATTATTTAAAATCCTTAGTTTTATTATACAGATATGAAATTGGCAACAATATTTATTGTTTTATACTGTATTATCATTGTGTTTCCCTCCCAGATCGAAAGCGTCGCACTATACTGATAAAATAAATAAATATACACAGTCACAGTGCCAGTCAGTGGTCTTATTTTACCGTGCATTATAAAA